GTGAAATATCATCTCCAGGGGCTGGTGAGGACTCAGGGTATATTGCAGGTGGGTCTTCTCCATCACCGTCAGGTATTTGTTCTCTGAGAAGAGAAAACATCCTGAAATGACCAAAATCGCAGGGGCAGACAGCTGTGCAGTGCCGCCGTTGAAGAAATCATTATCCACGACATTATCCATGAACACACGTTGGGAGCAAAGCCAAACCCGGCTTCACCCAGCCAGGCTTTTCCTGGCGGGCAGTAAGGCCATCCCCTTGGCACCGCTGGGACACGGACCGCGTGTTGCATCAACCAGACCCAGGCAACACTTGTTTGGACAAGAGAGGCTGCCGAGAAAGGCGCAAGGTGCAACGTCAGGCTGCTGCTTACTCTCCAGGGGGTCCTGGAAGCGCGGGTGCAGGAGGGCGCGCGGCGTCCCGTGGTACAGCTTCAGCCTGAAAGCACAGAGCACACCCACCGTGGTCAGCAACCCCCCAGGGGCACATATTCATCTCCCACAACGCCTCTGCTCAACAGCAAGAAACCACCCTCCAGCTCTGGTCCCACAGTTAAACCCTGTCCGCAGGGAAGGACAGGCACCGCTTACAAGCCACCGCTGCCTCCCCAGCAGCAAACAGCTCCAGGTTTCCAAATGCTGTCTGAGTTTCCACAGCCCCAGGACCACCCTCCCTCCCCCCAGAGCAGCCATGCCCATTGGCCCCCAGCTCCTGGCGTGCCCCATCACGCCGTGGCAGGAGGACCTACGCTCGGTCCTTGGTGGCCATGTCCATCACCTCCGACCCGCTGCCGAAGAGGGGGATGAGTCCAAAGCCACAGGAGAGATGCCGAGAGCCCCCATCCCCTGTCCTGGCTGTTGTCACCACTTCTACGACGGCGGCAATGCCAGGGTGGTTCAAGGAGGTGTGGAAGTAAACGGTCTGGGATGGGAGAGATGAAGGGTCTGGCAGAGCTGGCAGCGGCGGCAGGCAAACCATCTCCAGCACCGCTTGGAAATCTCTACCTCCTTAAATCTCAAACAGCAATTTTTTTTTTTTTTGCTGTTAACAACCATTTTCCAGAGTAACTCGCAGGCTGCAGACCCCATAAGGTGTGCCTCTGACCTACAGCATCATGGAGAGCCCCGTCCTGGGACAGCCGAAGGAGCTGGAAACCCTCCTGCCATGGGGAGGGGAGATGGGGGCAGCCTGGACCCAAGGGCAGAAGGGGACAGGACACAGGTCACAGGAAAGGATTTAAAGCCAGGTTAATCTTTCTATTAAAAACTCATTACCGCAGTGTCCTGGGGAAAACGTTTACTATAATCACAGGCTGTCAGGAAGGGAAAACAGAGAGAGACATTACCACACCAGCCCAGGGAAATAAATCGTTATTCTATTATCTTCTATTGCAAACCGTTGAAGGAATGAGCACTGGCTGCAGACCAACGCCTCTCCTCACAAACACACAGAGAGCTTTCAAGCAGAGCTGGTGTAAAACCAAGCTCGCCGCTCCCTCAGACACCGCTGCCGATTGAAATAAACAGAGGAGCGTGGCTCTAACCAGTGCTACGCTCCATCCGCAGCACAGAGCACTGGAGGAGGGGAAACAAAAGTTTAATTAGAAAATGTGACATCTCAGCTGTTGTCCATGCTCCAGGGCAGTGGGATCTCCCCAGGAAGGGGGCACCCCCGTTTGCCGGTATCAGGACAGCTTTCGGGTCAGTTCCCAGGTAAGGATAGAAAAGCGCTGGGCCGGAGGGTGGGCGGCTACGCCTTCCCTCCCTCCCCACTCGTGGGGGAACACTGCTCTCTGCCGCCGGCTCCGCACACGGCAGGTGGCACGCCGCTGCTCCCAGGCTGTCACCCAGCCCCGGAGGGGACCCAGAGCCCCAGTTCCCCCATTCCACAAACCATGCACAAAAGCTCATGCCCCCCAGCATCCTACCTCGTTGAAAGCCGCCCTGGCCGGGCGCGGTGGGGCAGCGCGGGCAGCTCTCCAGCCGCTCCTCCACGTCCTCCCAAAGAAGTGACGGTACGTGGCGTCAAAAAGGGAGAGGCGCAGCTGGTACTCGGCTCCCTGCAGGGCACAAGGGGACACGGCGTTGGGGTCTGCTCAGGGACACGCCAGCTCAGCCACCCCCAACTGCAGAGAACACACTGCAGTGAAAGAGAACAAATAAATCCCGTTTTCTAATTGATGCCCAAGTCAGGCATGTGGCTGAGTACAGCTTCGTGCGCTGCTGGAGAAGCTTTCCAAAAGCCAGAGGCTGAACAAGCAGAGCAAAAGTGGGAAAACTAAGCATTAGGCATATAACAAACGGGTATCGGACTTTCAAAGTGCTACCCAGAGACTGTAACTTTAAAATGCTTCTGTAAACGTAAAAATTAACAAAAATTCAATTAAAAATTAATTACATGTTAACTCAGATTTGCAGTCAGGATTGAGACATGGCTACAGTTTGTGTTTCTGGCACATTTTCCATTCCCCCCCAAACAAGTAACCCTCTTTTGAAAACCCCCACCTTTGGGAGCTGTGCCCCACAAACACAGCAAATCCCAGGGCACCACAGCCCGGCAGTGAGCAGAAAGCAAAGGCTCAGCGAGATGCTGCTGCACTCCCCCCTGCGGAGCCGAGCCCCCGTTACCTGGGCAAGGGCAGCCCCCTCCAGGCACTTGAGGACGCAGCGGAAAGCCGTGGAGCCCGGCGGGCGAGCCCACCTGCGCTGGGTGTGTGGAGGAAGAGCGAGGTTCTGCAGAAACACCCGCTCCCACTCGCTCATCCTGCTGCCCCAAAGGTCGCCTCTCCCTCCCAGCACCGGCTACGGGGAGCACTGGGCTGGAAAAGAGGGAAACACACACTCCGGGAACACGCTCCGCAGCCGAGGAGCTGTGCACGTGGAGGAGGCCAACGGGACGCGTGGGAAAGGGCTCCTGGGCACTGATGCACCGGGACCGGCACGCCGGGGGAGCGGGCTGCTTGACACGGCATCCCCCTGAGCCCACAGGCATGGCCAGGGGGCCAGCACAGGCCATGGAGGGGATGGTGAGACCCTCAGCCTGGGGGACCCCC